CACTGAATGTCTTATTTTTGAATAGACAGGGGTAGGAAGTAAAATCTAAGTCTTAATTAAATCTTCGAGGCCACAAGGGCATAAAATATAATGCTAAATTAGGAAATTTAATAATCATCTATATGAATTTAAAATATACTGTTTTTCTCATGTGATGAATTTTTGGTATGTCTCAAATTCTCAAAATTAGAAGTGTAACATAAATAGATCTATTTTCTAGAGATATAAATATTATAAAGAAAACTTGAGTGCTAAATTTTTAAAAACTGAACTACATTTTTACAGAAATAAAAGTATGCTAATTCTCTGTACATCTTTTCATTACTATAATCTACGTAGGGCTTTTAGATTGGCTCAAATAAATCATTAAAAACTCATATAAACAAACTCTTAAAAATATACTAAATAGGTTTTGTTGCCCAAAAAGTATGTCCAAACTGAATTTGAAATGGCTATATAAAATCTGTATCAAGAAACTAATAATTTTTATAGGTACCTTTATTTGAGATATTTGAAATAGATTGAACAAAAATATTCATAGACCCAAGTAAAGTCAGTAGGCATGTACATTTACTTAAAAAAAACTTAATGAAATGTATTTTAATATTATTCCAATTTACTTTCTGTAGAATAAAGGTAGTCCTCGATTTATAACAGTTTGTTCAGGGACCGTTCAATCTTACAACAGCAGTGAAAAAAGTGACATGACTTTTTTCACTTAAGACCGTTGCAGCATCCCCACAGCCATGTGATCAAAAGTCAGCCTTGTCAACTGATTCATATTTATGATGATTGCAGTGTCCAGGCATGTGATCATCTTTTGTGACCTTCTGACAAAGTCAATGGGGAAACCAGATTCATTTAACAATTGTATTACTATAGTGAGACACTTAACAACTGTGGCAAGATAGGTCGTAAAAATGGGGCAAAATTCACTTAACTGTCTTGCTTAGCAACAGAAATTTTAGGCTCAATTGTGCTCGTAAATCGAGGACTAACCTGTATATGATGCATTTTGAATAATGGCATACTATTTCAATGTTTGATTTCTGGCATAATGTTATCTGGGAGGTTCAGTGCTCAATTCATTTTCCCAAAGTAACTACGCCATTTAGAGAAGCCATAAGAGACTAATACAGTATGAACTAAAATCACTGATATGTCTATTGACTAATCCTACTGCATTTGTTAAGCAATGTATTTGTCAAAAGTACTTTACTTCCTTCTGATTTTTTTTAATCTTAGGGATAGGAAAATTTACCAGCATAACTGACTTTTAATGTTTTTGTAGATTCTAATGAAGAATTTTCAGGCATACTATACAAAGCAATACCAGCCCCTAGCAGCATTTGTTATTTACTTAAGCTCCATAATGGAAAATAAAAAATACTGTATCATTTGGAATCTATCCTCCTACTCGTTAAAAAGAAAAAGGAGTGGCAGAATGAATCTATAGAATCGGTAAGCTATTGCAATAAAATGTTTTGACTAGAGGCAGTAATCATAACCATTTTTAAGATGCCTATAATATTAGCAAACATCTATGTATTTCACTAAAGCAAAAAGGTAGACTACCTCTGCTTTATTCACTAACTTAACATAACATAGCTATTATTTGTAGTGATTTGTCACTGAAGCTGGTTTTCTTGAACCTTCTTTCTCCATGCACAACTAATGTATATTTGTGTTATACTGATGCACATCAGAAAATACAGTGTAAGTTGTCATTAGGAGATACACTACAATTTCACCTCCTAATTTACCTTACTCCTTTTCAACTATTTTTACAATGTCTTTATGCTCAGCCTGTACAACTCACAACTTCATTTACAAAAGTGAAAGCCTGAAGTATGCTATTTTTATTTAAGATAGTCCTATTCATACACTAGAAAATCCAGTTTGGTTATGCTGAACTTCAAATCCATGAAGCCTTAGGTCAGTCCTGGTCAGCCTAACAGACCCAACAATCTTTGTAAGAAGAAAGATAATGGGAGAACAGAAAGGGTTTTTATGCTGTCCTGAGCTTCTTTCAGGAAAGATGAGATGAAAGCAATAGATTTGGCTGGCTATTGGCTGGCTAAACCTCTCTCCTCATGCAGGGCTGAAGTCACTGCTTTACTGATATAGGGCCCAACAGAAAGCAGCATCAGACTAACAAGAAACAATCCTGAAGTTTACCAAGGCACTCATGCTTTTTCCTCAAAGGCAGCTCTCTCTAAGTCTAAGACAACCTACCCAGCAATTCCAAACTGAAACTGGGACAACAATAATTAAGCAATTCCTCTCTCCCATAGCCTATCATTTAGGCACCAGAAAAGCAAGATATTTTATGCATATTTGTTAAATTTTTATCTGGCCTTTCCTCCAGCTCAAGGAAGAGTACAAAGCACTCACTTTGTCCCCTCCCCCCCTTAACCTCGGGAGGTAAACGGGGGGGGGGGGGGGGAAGAGCAACTGGGGGAAGGAAAGTCCAAAACTGGCCAACGAGCTTCCATGGGTGGGTTCGGTTTGCGCTTGGTTTCCCTGGTCCAGGTCCAACAGGGTAACCACCTATACCAGATGATTGCTCAGAACAAAATAAGAAGAAAGTGGCCACAAGGGAAAATGAGACTGACGGGACGACGTGAATGTGATAACGCACAAGACAGCATAAAGCTACAAGCCCGGAGTTCAGAGAGCGTAACAGAACAGCCCAAACCAGTTCCTTCTGATACCGCGACTTGAACAAGCTTTCTTTTTGGGGTGCGGGGAGTGTTGAAGCATGCAAGGCCAATCCCGAGAGGCTTTTTTTTTTTTTTTTTTTTGCAAACTGCAAGGAATAGGACTCTCCCATGGGGCTGACAGGCCTCGGCGAAAAGGCGGACAACTGCAATGCCAAGCGGCGCTGAAAAGATGCGCCTTCGCCCTTTGCGTGCAGCGCAGACGGCGACGTTTCTTCCTTTTCCCCAGGAAAGATTGCAACTCACCAGACGGAGCCGTAAGCTCCGGAACCCACCGGCGAGAGGTTCTGGTAACGCTCGGGCACCTCCCAGATCGTCTTGTTCAGCTCTTGCCGGTAGAACTTGGGCCGCTCCTGGGTCATCTCGACCCCCACGTCCGCCCCACCCAGCGGGGCCGGGAGGGAGGAGACCCTCGAACAGGGATCGCGGCTCCTCCCCCTGCAGCGAAAGGGAGTTTCCCGCGCGGGAGGAGGAGGAGGAGGAGGTGGGAAAGCCGCCCGCGCCTAGCTGCAACTTCGGCCGCTGGTCGCAACTCGCCTCGAGCGCCCTGCACCGCTGCTGCAGCAGCCCCTCCTTTGGAGGAAAGGAGAAAGACCGCTGGAGGAACAGTGGCCGGCGGGGACCCGCAAGTGCTCACTTCTCCAGCCTGAAGGGAAAGGCCACCGAAGGAGCACGCAAGGTCTCTAAGGAGACCGGAGCTGGTTTAAGAGCCGAGCGGGGGACCCAAGCAATGACGGAGACACGCCAGTCTGACTTCTCCGAACCTCTTCCTAGATCCTCTCGACCAATCGATCGCGGAGGTATCGCGAGATCTGCGACTCGGAATTGCGAGTGACAATGCCCCAATATGGAACCTAATTCTTGCGGCCTGTATGAGCGCAGCCCACTAGGATGGTCTCGCGAGATCTATAAGGATAGAGAGAGAAACGGAGGAAGGCGGAGTTTGAGGTAATTGTAGGAGTTGCCTTCCTGGGGTAGTTTGACAGCCCGAGCCCGCTTTTATCTTCTTGCTTTCCTCCCTGTTGCTATGGGAAAGACTGCGGCTCGGAGCTTTAGGCCAGGGGTAGTCAACCTTGGCTCTTTTATGACTCGTGGACTTCAACTCCCAGAATTCCTGAGCCAGCTGTGCTGGCTCAGGAATTCTGGGAGTTGAAGTCCACGAGTCATAAAAGAGCCAAGGTTGACTACCCCTGCTTTAGGCGAAGAAGTGCCGTAATCTTCATTGCGACATTTCTAAGGCAACCTCTTTGATTTATCGATTAACGTGAATTCCTGTAATGAAAAGTGCTTTTTTTCCACCTCGTTTTCGCTTAACCAGCCTCCTTCTCCTTCTTGTGCCATATCCGTTATCGGACGTTGGCGATCCTGTTTTTATCAGCAGCCGCACGAAAAAGTGCTGCTGAGTTTTGTCCAAACCCTAAGTTACTGAAACTGCTGGACTTCCGCTTATTTTAAACCCAATTTGCTTTACTCCGCAACAGTGTTGTCCAGCCTTGCTCAAGAAATCAAAAGCGCGCACTCTGCTTCGTTTCCTTGTACGGACCCAACGTTGATGCCATATTCACTCGTATGCAGAATCAAGCTGGCGTTTTACTCATTTGCCCATCTCTTACTCTTGGCAAAGAAGCAAACTACTACCATGCAATACTCGTTTCCGTCTTTTTTTGTTTCAGGAACAGGATCTGTAAGGGGAATCACGCTTTATAAATGACATTACCTTCAACTTATTTGTTAAACGTATATAGCCACCCATCTCCCCAAAGTGATTCTGGGCGACCTACAACAATAAAAAAAAAATAACCAAAAATTCATTTAAAATACAGAGGACGTATCAAGATATTAAATGCCGCTCTGCGGGAAAAAAATATTCCTTCAAGAATGCGGAAGTAACATAACCCTAAATCTCACTTTAAAAGTCGAGCCCCAAACACATCAGGAACGCCTCTAACAGCCGCCTCAAAACGGCTCACGCAATTCTGCAGCAGTTTCAGACGCTGCGACCTGCCCCGCCATCTACTGATGGACGAGGACCCATCAGAAACCATCGCTCGAATGGGACGCCCGAAAGGCGTTCTGTCCATTGAATCTCATGTCGGCTGTGCGTGACTTGAAACTTCGCCCGCAAGCAGAATTGACGGCGAATACGTCACAATTCTGTCTAGCGACAGCACCTCACTACCGCACGCCAGGCGGAGTTTTTACCATTGTCCCGCTCTCTGACCCCGCCAAATCCGGCGAAAACCGAAAGGGAGAACAGTGGGCTGCGGCGGGGGAAGCGCGGGCGCTCCGCACATGGGACAGGGGGAGGCGGGCGAGCAGCCTAACGCGCGGCTTCATCCTCCCATGCAGAGGAGGGGACGGTGCCGTATGCGCTTGGAAGAACCGGGGGGCGTGGCTTTCCTTAGTAGTCCCAGCTCGGAAGGAAGTGACAGCAGCGGCGCCGAAGAAATTTGGTGGCGCGCACAACGGCGCGCGAAGATACCGGCCGTACGCACGCGCCGGCCGGCCCGCCCACGCCCGGCGCAGGCGCAAGGAACATCTTTAGAGCGCACGCGCGGGAGCTCAGCGGGGCTGCCGTCGCTGGCCGCCATGGAACGGAAAGGTGAGCGCGTTGGGCTTTTTTTGCTCCGGGTTTGGTTTTTTTCCCCCTTCCTTAATTCACGTCAGGAAGAGGTTGCTCTTCTTGGGCCTCCTTTAATTTGAATTCATCCCGCTGCTCTAATCTAAACGATCTGGTTTTGGGTTCTTTTTAGTATACTTAATAACAGATGCCTGTTGCATTTTTAAGGTACGTTGACAGTGATGTACTTCTTAAGCGTCTGCTTAATGCTCCCCTTTGTGTGGACGAGGTAGAGAGTATGATACTTTGTCTCCACTTAGGTTACGTTCTTAAGGAAGAAAAAAAATCTGACGGGGGCACATATCTGATTGAAATCGAACATAAATGGTGCCTCTAGTTAAGGATTTGTAAACTAAAGATGATGCTTAAAAATTAAACTTACCAGATTTGTAAATTCAGATTTTGAGTTGAACCAGATTTTGATTCAGCTTTCTTCTGCTTCCCCATCTCTTTTCAGTTCTAGCATTGCAAGCCCGAAAGAAACGGACCAAAGCCAAGAAAGAAAAGGCCCAGAGAAAGTAAGTGTTCCCCACCGTGTTTCAAATGAAGGTAATTCTTGAAAGTTGTATTTTCTGAACTGAAATAAAGAAAAAAAAAAGTCTAGTAAACATTCCTGTATAACCCAGTCTTACCACTGATCATACCTGCCTGTCCTTAGGGCAGCATGTGTATTAAAGTATGAGTTTAATCTCTGTTAATACCTGTTAAGGATATTTGAATACCGGTAGCATATAAAACATAGAGCTGGACTTACATTGTACCTTCTGGCCAGCCCTGGGTTTTCTGCTACTATACTTTAATTTTCATGGTTATTATTTGAGTCATAATAGCCATTTATGCACTTTATAGGGAAACCCTTTGAGGGATCTGAAATATTTAAAGTTCCTTCTGGATTTGCACCATTTTTCCCCTTCTTCTTGCTTATTGTCTAGCTAAAGTCTTTATTTTATGCAACTTAAGTAGTTCAGTTTAGTTCCAAAGCTTCATTTTATAGCCATGGGCAAAGCAGGAACTCCACATTTTTAGCAGTACTGGTTTATACCTTGCCTTTAGCTACCATCTTCTAAAAATTCCCATTGATTTTCATTAGACTTACTACTAAATAGCTATACAGAAAATTATTGCTTGTATGCTGAGGAGCTCTTTATTTACATTTAAATACATTCAATTATCTATGATTTACTACCCTGTGGAACATTTTTAAGGCTGTAGTGTACACACTGGCAAGAGTGTAAGCCCATTGCACACTAATTTATTTATTTATTGGATTTTTATTTTTAAGGAAGTTACCATTGTGTGACTCTTGATGACTGCAAAGAATAAAATTCCATGGTTCAAATAATATTGTAATAAATGCAACCATTATGATGTGTCATTAATTTGCTATCAGAATATATATAAATAATCCCTGAAGCTCTGTCCTAACTACTTAAAAAACCATCCGCAAGAGCTCCTTTTTAACTTGCTTCCAGAAGACCATTATGGTCAGTGCAAGTCTAACCTCTCAGGTCACATCATGGGTTCCATAACAGAGAACCCATGGGTTCTCTGGGTTATTCTCCTGGGTTATTCTGATTTCATGAAAATGGAAAATTTGGGGGGGGGGGGGTAGGCTGATACTGAATGTACAGCCCTGAATGTACTTCAGCCCCAAGCCATATAGAACTGCAGTCATGAGAAGCTTATGAACAGAGTAAACCTTTAATATACTGTGCTAATAAAGTGAAAATATGTCCATCAAAGTAGGATATCTATAAATTATATTTGCATAAAATTGGGATGAGTCATTAGGCATGTACAGTTATCGTGCATCAGACAGTGGGAAATGGTGACTAGATATGGACAGATTGTTGCATCTAAGTTCCATTAAGAGGTATATTCTAATGTTAATATAGAATATAAAATACCCTGGACTGTCTGTATATTTACTTTCTCAAATGAGCTCTGCAATGAAGCAGCAGCAGGTCTCTTTACTTCAGTTCACAAACAACAAAAGCAAAAATGCACTTTTTCAACTGTTGGTTTGAAGCTGTTTCCAATTGCATGTGTATGAAACATAATTCTGATATTTGGCACTCAGAAACTACAGAATCATAACAGTAAGAATTCTTATAACGCACAAATAGTATATAGTTTTGCATTTGACAACCTGCATGTAAAATAAGTGCAATATGTAATGATAATAGCATGATATTACAATCAATGAACTCTTCACAGAAAGAAATTCAATTGCAGCACTAAATGTGTCTGTTGGACATGTAGCAGTGTTACTTTTTATCTATATTTTTATGTTTTTTTCCCCTTCACTATCACACTACTGTACGCCTTTAGCTAATCCAGGCAGTGATTAGCAGAAATGAATTTGGCTGATGCTTTCTCCAAGTTTCTGTGATTTAGAGGAATTTAAACAGAAAAATGAATCATGCAACTTGGACATATTCAAAAGTTCTGGGACAAAACTATAGTACTTTGTTTTGTTTTGTGGTTGGAATTTTAAAATAGTTTTTTTGGTTTACGACATTTAATTCACCTTTAGGATGCACCTGGTAATTTATGGAAATAGAAATTACAATCAGTCTTTGACTGAGCATTAGTAAAATGTTGCTTGGTTTTGTGGGAAAAACTATAAATCATTAATAGGCATCAACAAAGTAGCTTCTGGTTATTTTTATTTGTTTATTCAGAAGAGCCTATCAAAAGGAATAAATACATCTGGCCTTTAGTTAAGCAACTTGGATCTGATTATTACTTGGATGGGAGACTACCGAGGAATACCAGAGGATGTAGGCTATGCTAGGGGGAAAAAAAAAGGAAACAGAAGACAGTGACAAAACTGCTTGTATGTTTTAAAAACATGAGGTTGTCAACCTCCATGAGGTTGTCAGAAATTACTCATCGAAAATTTCCTTTTTTAAAAATCTCTTAATATATTGAATATATTTTACCCTAATTTATGCCTGGTTTTTTATTCATTTTGTGGCTTTTTTAATTTTCAGTTTTTAAAATGTGTTAATTCTTTAAAAGGATTGTTCTGTAACGTTCACGGATACGCTTCTTTGAAGCAGAAATAAGTCTACACTATGAGAAAACTCATTTTAAGCAATAATTGTGAAATTACTTTGTGCAGTGTTTTATTATGTAAAAAAATAGCCAAGATCTCTGAAATACACTTGAAATGTAGTGATCAATCTGATAGAAATATTTAAAATATTTTTATATTTTCAAATAGCTAATAAACCACAGAATTGCTCTGCCTGCCCACACATATTTTTGCTATTTATCTGTCTTCTAAAAGGAAAAAGAACTAACTTTGGAAAATTTCCTTCTGTGGAGTTATGCCTTGCTCATATTTGAGCAAATGGTCATCAGTAAATTGCAGTACTGTGTGTGATATTTGATAAGAACAGGTATCAGATTCTTGTGGAGAGTTTATTTTCTGGGAAGAAGTCACATATTTGATGCAAGTGGCAGGTATATGTGTTTATATGTATGGAATCCTTTATTATAAATTGCCCTCTAATCTAATTATGAATATTAAATAACAAAATATGCTTTTTTCTGCCCAAGCAAGGTGACGTTTCCTAGTCATTACACCTAATTCTATGTTGTTTTTATTGGATCAAGTGAGCAGCATCTTTTTCCTAATTTGTTGACTCTGCTTTTATTAATGTCTTCTTCCCCCATATTAACTCCCCTGCAAATAATAATAATTTTGAGTTTCTTGAATCATGTTTGTCAAAAACTCCCTCTGCATGTCAAAGTATTGAGAAGGCTTTGGTTCTTCACTAGAGTAGGAAAAGAATGCCTAACCAGTGTTATCATCCACTTCTAACCTCTACCGTGACATGAATAGAGTTTGGGAAGGCATTGAGAAAATAGAGTGTAAGTCTGACCCCAAAATTCATATGCCTGTTTATTTGGAGAAAGGAATATATTGAGAATTGCCCTATACCTTATAGTTTCCCTATTGTTTCACTGATGCTTGTATCCAGTTTTCTATGAAAATTACTTCAAATATGTTGGAAGTCAGATGCTATTAGTACATTGCAAGAAATTTCAGGAAAACCTCATTTTGATATGCATAAAATTGTGTAAACAATATAAAGAACATATTTCTATTTGCATTAAGTATAAATGTTGCTTATCATTGAATTAATGCAGCTGTGTTTTTACTATGTCTAGCATATCTATTTGTATTGGCCTAAAAATAAAAGCTTAAGATTAGGCTGTTTTTCATTCTGTTTGAAAAACATGCAGTCTTTCCATGGAATCAAAATAATAGTAATGAAATGTTTTAATGTCTGTTAGTTTATTATTTAATGCAAAGAAGCTACAAGCTAATTTTCTTTTTTATTGTCACCTTTTTCTTGAGAGATTACAACAATTATGTTACTTATTATCTTATTGTCATAAGTTATTACAAAAAGATGAATATACATTGCCTTACATCTCTGTATATTACTGTACATTTTTATTGGCATTAGTTCTATCAAAAATGCTTACTGAGAAGTACTACACAAACTAAACCACGTGTCTCCTAGTACAAGCAGAGTGTAGCTTGAAAAATAGATCAGGAAACCCCATGGTTCTTCAATAATCAAATTTTTAATATAGGTGGCCCTTGCTTAACAATGGTAATTGAGATCAGAATATCCATTACTAAACAAAGTAGTTGTAAAACCCAGGATCACCTCACATGATCACAACTTCTAACTTTCCCATTGACTTTGCAGCAAGGAAGGTTGTGAATAACAATCAAAAATCTGGCTGATTGCTGAGTGCAGATCATATGACTGCAGGGGCCCTGTGATGGCCACTTTGATGACTGGTCGTACCGCTCATTCAATGGCTCTCTCAAATTCAAACAATTGCGGAGTGGTCATTAAACAAGGATCACCTGTAATAACTTGATGTAACTGACCATCGTGGGGAATTATTGAATAAGTTTGAATTTGCATTATTTGTATAATCACATAACTCATAAATGATACATTTGTAATAAGAACTTCAACTAAAATGAAAAATTAGGCCATTGTATTTTAAAGTCTGTGAAAATGAGGTCTTTTAAAATGAGGACTTACTGTTACTATTTTTTATACATAATTCAAGGCAGGGAATATATATAGTACTCCTCCTTCCTTCCATTTTCCCCACAATAACAACCCTGTGAGGTGGGTTGGGCTGAAAGAGTATTGGCCCAAGGTCACCCAGTCAGTTTTCATGTCTAAGGTGAGACTAGAACTCACACTGTCCTGGTTTCTAACCTAGCACCTTAACCACTATAACAAACTGGAACCAAAACTGATTCCAGTTTAATTATGTATTTAAAATAAAGGTAGGCTGTAGTTATAGTATGTCATCAATTATGTGGAATTAAAAGAAATGTCTATTTCAGGTGGCATGATGTAATATGATTTACAATTAGGTATATTAAATATCTGCTTTAGATAATAAACTGGGGAAAATGTAATCCTACCATCAGCTCATGATAGTAAATAAGTCCTATATATTTGACCTT